AGCTTATAAATACCCATACTGATCAAAGGTAGGACACACGAAACATAAAGAAAACAGAAGGCAGAAGCAAAGAAAAAAAACCTAAGGCAATCATATGATTTTTAGTTTTTTTTTTAAAAAAATTTTGGTAGTTTTTTTTATAAAAAATTTCAGATTCCGATGAATTTTTCGACGAAATTCATATTTTTTGACATATTTTTCCAGTTTTTGGTAGCCTTTCCTAGTTTTTGGTAGAACATTCAATCAGATTCTGGGTTGTTAGAAAGAGAAAGAGAAAAATGGGAGAAAAGAGAAAGGGAATAAAGGGGATTTGCTGAAAAGGCTAAGATTTTAGCCTTATACATCCTACTAAAACGGTATCATTTTGAAGTTTAATAAACCTTAAGATCCACACGTTTTCTAGCGGGCAACCCGACCTACGCTTTAACTCGCTTATGTGACCTACATCCCAACCAATTTCTACTGTTGAGTCGAGCTGAGCCACATCTAAGTCGTACCACTAAGCTATTTTTTATTTATGAAGCTGAGCTGTTTCGCAGTCGCAAGTTGAGCTATTTTTTTGCTATTATTTATTTATTTTTATGTGTTTTTTTAGTATTTTTGCATGATTAAATTTAGAAAAAAATATAATAAAAAAATAAAAAAATTGAAAATAAATATTAATTATCCAATGATGAAATTTATAGAAATTTCAAATGGTAAATTTTTATAAAATTATTAGGTGAGAAATTTTGTCTAAATTTGTTCCAAATGGTGGAATAATTTAGATAAATTTTTAATAACAATAATTAATATTTATTTTTTAAAAATATAAAAATTTTGGAATTAAATTCAAATTACCTAAGGATGAAATTCTTAAAAATTTCAAATGGTAAATTTCTAAAAAATCTTTAGGTGAAAAATTTTATCTAAAGTTGTCCTAAATGGTGGAATAATTTAGATAAAGTTTCAATAAAAGTAATTGTATTCTTTTCAAATAAAAATTTGGGTTGAAAATATTTGATAATTATCCAATGATGAGATTTTTAAAAATTTCAAATGGTAAATTTCTAAGAAATCTCTAGGTGAGAAATTTTCTTTAAATTTATCCCAAATGGTGGAATAATTTAAATGAAATTTCAATAAAAATAATTGTTATATTATCTTCTTTCCAACAAAATATAAAAAAAAAATTTAAATAAGGCTAAATAATGAAAAATTTAGAAATTCAGAAAGAGAAAATATTTCTAATTTGGCCTAAATGGTGAAATAATTAGATATATTTTCGACAAAAAATAAATAAATAAACCTTTTTTCGACTAGAATGTTAATAAGAATATGGGATGCTATGAATGTTAGTAAGAATGGAAAAGTTATAGGTTTAAGAATGATTCTGATGGATGAAAATGTGAAGGCTTTATTTACCTTAATTTGTACATATTAGATTATTCATTTTATTTATGATAAAATTATTCAATAAACAATTTTTTTTGTTTACAAGATGATTACATTCATACAATGGCATTCAAAAATTTGGTAGAGAAGTATCATACACTACTGATGGAATTGAATTTTACACGATTCAAAATTTCAAAGTTTGCAATGTATCTAGCTCCTACTAAATTGCAAAAAATGATTTGATGGTCTACTTCAAACCCAATACATTTATCAAGCTTGTTAATGGTTTAAATAGTTCACTTAAGTTGCATAATTTTGAGTTTTTGGAGTTTGATGCTAATTAATCATGTTATGATGATAAAACATATTTGATAGGTCCATTTACTTCAACTTTATATAATGCTTTTTAATTTTGCATTTTATATTAATTTGACTAATTATTCTTTGAAACTATTTAAGCTTAAAAATGTCATTGAAAAAATTAAGTAAGATAAGTTCAATCGTGAATCAAGATGTTCAAGGTGTAAAAGTAAATAAAAGGGTATTAGAAATAAAAAAAAAATGCAAGATATGCATTGAGAAATACTTAATTATATAATGCATACATCAAATTAATTGTTTAACCAATTATTTTGATTTTTTTTCTTGTACTAGAAACTTAATGGAAATTGTTCTTTAAGGTGGAGTTGCATATCAACTTGAAGACAATATTTGATAGGCCAAAATGAAACTATCATATTGGTTGTGACATCTACCATTATCAAACAATTCAGAGGTAAGTAAAAAAAAAAAAAACTATATTTTAATTAATTTAGTTTTAACCCCAATTATTTAAACAATGTTTCTTATATTGAATATTTAATTAAGGTAAATACAATTTGTCATCTACAGCAGCAACAAAAGGTATATAAGAATTTGAATACACCTGAAGTAAGTATAATTCTGAATAGGTAATTACATATTTTCAATACTAAATATAAAGTTATTTAAAAAAATATTGAAGCACTCAAAAAGATATAATGCATTTTACAAAATATATATTATAATTTTTAATACAAATACAGTTAGATTGTTGTTGATTCTCAAGTCTAAGAATATCTAACACCAACAAAAAAAATCATATCTTCCAAAGAAATGTTATTTGCAAATAGATCAATAGCTGATATTTTTCATGTCATGAATTCCAAGTCATGTAAGGTAAGAACTACGGATTTTAGTTAAATGTATTTCAATTTAAATATACATAAAATTATAATTAAGAAAAATATTTCTTACTTTTACTACCATTAGGAGGAAAAGTTTACCTATAAATATACTATAATGCAAATCGACACAAGGTATGGTATGTGACGTGCATCGAAAAAATGTATTAGAAGCTGATGGAGGTTATGCTTGTAAGGATTGTGTATGTCAAATGCAACTTCCAATTGTAAGATGTCATTGAATTCCATCATCATTATATGTCAGTTTAAGTAAAATTTATTGAGATATTTTTAAATAAGTAATTTTTTAAAAAATAATCGCTTGGATATTTACTTTTTTCAATTTTCAATTGAAGGTATGTTTGATTATTATTAATATTCCATCATAGGTATAAATTAATTGTCAACATATCTAATGGGATTGACAATGAACCATTTGTCTTTTTCAATGGAAAAGCTAATCGAAATCTAAATTATATAGCCAAGCAGTTGTTTCAAACAAAAAAGGAGATTATATAATTTTCACAACAATATTCAAAATTCATATGAATATCAATATTATTTAATTAAATTTATATAAATTTACTCACTGGAAGATGAGAGACGCTAAAGTGAAAAAAAATTTAAAAGAGTTAATAGGTTGTTCATATATTTTCAAAATAGAACTTAATGATTACAACTTTTTTCATGGAAGTTCAAGATTAAATGTTACATATGTTCATGAGATACTTTATGCAGAAAAAAGTCAGAATTTACTTGAAAAATACAAAAGGTAAATAGTTTAATACATTTTATTAAAACATTTTACCAATAATTTTTTCAAAATAATAGTTTACAATTTAATACTATTACTTACTCAAAATTTAAAACTATTTCATTTTAGATTTTACAAGAATATAATTTTACATCAGATGTGAACTTTAAAACAACTGAAATGCACAAATATTTGGAAAGCCATATATATGCTAAAATCAAGATATTACTGAAACTCCTTCAAAATAATATATATATATGTGTGTGTGTGCACATGAGTAGATTATCATGTACGTTATTTAAATAATTAAACTCATGTTTCTCTTAAATAAGTAAAATTTATTTTAAAATTATATAAATTTGTGATGTAAAAAAATGACAAAAGAAGTTAAAGATGATATAAATTGAACGAAATTAATTTAAAGCAAAAAAACTTTTAATTTCTATTTTAATACTTTGTTGGTATACTTAATAATATTATTTACAATATATTCTTAATGTTTTTTCTTCTTCAAATATTATTTATCATATATTTTAAAATTTATTAATTTTTTAATTAAAAAATTTTGTTTTATTATAACTTAACATCTTAATTATATTATTTATATTTTACATATATTTTGAATATGTAAATGATTAAATAATATTAACTTATATTTTATTCACATTTAAACAAAATAAAAATAATTCGTTGATAGATATGATATTTTAGAATGTCAGTTCTATTATGCAACCTTACCTATAAACTAAATAGCTTGTCTGGATCATCATGTTCACCTCCTAAGTCTTAGGATTCAATTGGAATTCCACTGAAGGGGCATTGAGATGTGATTTGCACCACTTTTTCACTCCAATCTCACTGTTGTGATGTTTGGGTAACATCAATGGCGTGCGTTTTACACTAGTTGTCCGCTGAACCTCAGTGCTCCATTAAAAAATCTTTATTCTCACCCGCCCTTTCCTTCCAACTTTGTCCATATTTTTTTAGTTTTTTTTCCCCTTAAAATTGTAAGAATAGACAAAAATATCCATACTTGCCCTTTCACTTTTTTCACCTTTTTTTTTCAATTTTTTATTTTGATTTTTTATTTTCAAATTTTGAAATTACTTTATTAATTTAATATAATAAATAATTTTTTTATTATATGATAAATTAATAAATAAACAAGTTTTAGTATTATATAATAAAAATATTTTGATTGAAAATAAATAAAAATTTTAAGATTTTAAATGTTTTAAATAATATTAAAAACTAGGTAAAATATTTTATTAAAATAATTTTAAATTTATTCTTAATAATCACTTTTTACTCTCACCTTACTGCCACCATTGTTTTGTTATTCATATTTTTCCAATGATTTTAATCTCATTATTATGATACTCAATTTTTTTATTATAATAATTTATCTTACTATCATTATTATTTTTAATCTCACTTAAATTAGTTTCACGGTCCATTCAAGAAAACCAATACTGCGGAAGTAATTTTGAATAAGAACTCTCTTACACTACTTTCGTGACTTTGGATTTAACACGAAAAAAAAATTTTTTTTTCTTTCATTTTGTTTTGTACAACATGAAAGCGAGCCTCATATCACTCCAAGTCCTGCAAAGGGCGAAAAGAGAAGGGAAGGGGATGAGTAAAGGAAAGGAAAATAAAAGAATGATGATGACAAAGGAAGCAACCTTTCTTCTTCCTAACAAGCCATGCAAGAAAGGGTAAAGGATAAAACCCCAATTGACCAAATAATACAATTTTCAAGAAAAAACAAGAGTGTATTTGAAATACTACTACACGCAAATTACCACTATGAAATTCAAGTTTTCCTGCGATTGGAACTCATTCCCTGGTAAGCGAGTCCATCAATGATCAAAAGGAGCCTGTCATTGCGAACAAAAAAAAGCAACACCGTCGCGTAAACACAAATATACTCAATACCTTGTAATGTTTTTCTTTCTACTTAACAATATCTCGAAACCTTCTCAGACACATAAAATTCCCAATAGCATGATGCCAACCCCATAGAGACAGCCTTCAAGCCTACAAGATAAATTTAACAGCAAAGAAACCTGGAAAAGCTATACACCAAGTTAAAAGGACAAGAACTGCCACCAGCCTCTCATTTTCATCGCTTGACCTTACCACAGCCACCACCATCACCAAATCTTAATAGAAAAGAAAGAGAAAGATGATAAGCTTTAGAAGAGTTGTAGTTGAAAAGTTACAATGCATATGCTACTAAACCGGTATGGCATCATTATTTGACGTGTCTCCACATCTCAATACAATACCATCAAGGGTAGCTGGGAAGATACATTTGGCCCATTGGCATCCAGTTGTAATTGGCTCAGGTGGAGGAACAATCATAAGTACATTGTCATTTCTCTGAACAACTCCCATTACACTAACCGTGCTTCCTTCCTTGATATACCTATAAGCATAAAATTGCAATTTCAAACCATTTGATGCAGTGGGGTTGCTTCGACTCGAACCTAAGCTTTTACATGCTTCACAACTCCTCTTATTGCCACTTGGCCAAGAGGTTGTTGGCAGAGCTCAAATACTTTTAATTGCCAACTCATTCTACCATTATCTATAATGCAAACACAATTGCGTCCCAGATGCTTAGAAGTTAAAGCTAGAACTCTTAAGCTTTGCACTTCAAGCACCCCATAAAGGCTTCCTCAATTTAATTGAAAATCAAATTTTCGTAAGGTACAAGTGCCCATTTGATGGAAGCGATTATAAACATTATAATCTCAGCAAAAACCACAAGCTGGTCTAAGTTGCATTTAACCTTCTTGGCCCAACCTAAACAGTCTTCACACTTCCCTCTTAAACAACCCTAAATTTCCATATTATTTAATTTAGTAATTACATTCAATACTTAGAATGGTGGCTCTGTTCAACCATAAATGAGTGTGACGCTGCTGCATAAGACAACCCCATGATAACCAAGTTGGAAAATTTACAACCCACATCAATCTAACCTAAATGTACATTCTTTGTGCTAGGGCTAGAGGTGGCAATTAAGCAGCCTTGAGTCAGTCAGTCTATCCTCAGGTTCGGGTTATTTCGGGTTCAAATTATCTCAAATTTAGATAATTTCGAGTTCACATCATTTCAAATTTGGGCTGTTTCGAGTTTGGACAGTAATAGGTTCGAGCCATCTTGAGTTTGGATCATTTTGGATTTGGGACGTTTCAAATACGGTCCATCTGGGGTTTGGGCAGTCCATCTGGGGTTAATTACAGTTCATGTCTTTTGGGGTTTTTAGGGAATTCGGATTGGCCCGAGATGGGGTTCAATCTCGGATTAATCAGGACAGTCTTTTGGGTTTGATTAGATTCTGCCACCTCTAGCTGAGGCACCTTATATCAGGCTTCACTCTCCTATCCCAGATTATGACACAAAAACCATTGTCACCTAATCTTTACAACTTGAGAATATCACAAAAAACTATCCATCTTGAAAGCAATGAATTGTAGAAGATGACTTCTAAGAATTTGCAAACTCAAGAATAAGCCCTATTAGCCATCATTCAAATAGAGAGACTCTCAGGATACCACTATTGTACCTGCCATATAAGCACTTAATATTATGGTGAAACTATGAATAAGAGAGAACATTTACCCTTCTTTCATTCGCATTATACGGTCATCACTTGAAAGGTTCCTTTCTCCCAACCACCTGATGAACTCTGGAGACAACGCTTCATTAGCTGGGTTTACATCTATAACAACTGAGTCATCCACATAAGGAGTCACCCTTGCTGTATAGCCTGTTTTTACTAATGCTCTCAACCCAGTCTGGAAATCTGAGATGTAGAAGTCAACTGCACGCCTCTGTCAAAATGACACATGAAGGTTACATTCAAAAGTATGGCATCTCAAGCTCAGCTAAAAGCTTTTATGCTCCAATGACGTAGATCCCATGATGATGGTGCGTAAAGAAGACCCGCTTGTGATAGCAATTAGATCAATTTGAATTTTAGATCACAGAAAAGAGAACATGATGACAGTTTATCCAGATTCTCAGAAAACATACAAACAAGAGTCAGTTCCCCTCCCCCTTTTTTTTTTTTGTGAATTATATTTTAATGGTTAATAGATCAAAGCTTCTGAACTATTAGGTTAGTGAAGCATCATGTTAATAAATTTGATAATTCCAAACAAGAAAGAAGCCTAGGGAACAGTACGAAACTGAACAAATGGGAAAAAAGACAATTTTTCACTAGGGAATTAAAATAAATTAGACAACATATAAACAAAGTTTAGGCACATCTACCCGGCGACACCTGTAAGCAGAGAGCAATGTAGCACTTCACAGTGTACTTATGCCTACAAAGCCTTGTTCCTTTTTCACTTTTGTGGAGTGGAAAAAATCCTCAACCGCTTGAAATTTTAAAATAAAGGCAAGCCATTTTGTGAATTGTAAGTACAAAGAAACAGGGAAAATAACAGATTTTCATAAAAATTCAGGAAAAAATAGAATAAAAATCAACAACTCAATTACTCACTTCCAACAATCGGAGTCCCCAGGTAAAGCGACGATGAGTATGATTGGCAGCTTTGGAATCCCATTCTCGATACTCATACAAACTAGTAGATGTATAAACACATCTTGGAACTTTCTGGAAGGATGACTCGAGAGGCACATTCCCACATGTTACCACCTTCAAAAATTACAACCAAACACTTAATCAATGTCTTTTACACATTTACAAGCATATAAAATTAAATGTTTTCAACAAAAAACAGAATCATATAAGCATAAACAACCCGTAATTCAATTTCCACTAGTTAGAAGATGTGCAACAGTTACAGAGGATAATATGTGCATAAAATAAATTCTCTATGTCCATATGTACATGATTTTGATCCAACAGGCTCCAGCTCATGGTAATTACAATATGACCTCAAGTACGCAACTTGACATCAACTCAAATTACATTTTTTTATTTAATATTAGACTTCAAACTGTATAGATAACATAAAAGGAATGCTTTACATAATTTAGGTTAAACAATCTTATCATGAAAATGTTACAATTCCCAAAGCATTAACTTAAGATACCTGGTAATCACCACAGGCTCAATCCCATGGAATCACTACATTTTACGTACATTACTACCCACATAAGTATGTGTGAATGTATAGCACCACCAATAAAAATTAAAAGATTGAATATTTCAGAATCAATTACAAGAAAGTCAGTTCAGGCCTTTCAATCTTTACTAGTAAAACAAATTATACCTAATAAAATTTTAAATTGATGTTTGACAAGTACATGTCACAGTGAATATACATCAGTACATGCTTATACTCTTATCAATTCATAGTTAAATTTTTTCCTAGTTAGCAATTAAAATATCTATGAGTTATTTCAATTAAAGGAAAAAGTATTTTAACCAGCACCTCTATTCTAAGGAATTTCATTTAAGGGCAAAGGTTACTCCAACACCATTATGCTAGTTTCTTTCATATACTTTTGTTTGTATAATACAAATCTTATTTGCGAAGTTGATACTTTAATTTAACATAGACTCGTCAAAGTTAAACAACTCTAAAAGTTTCAGTAGGACATAACCCAATGATCAGAAAAATAGAGCATTGAAAAAGGGAGTATGAAGAAGGGACAAAACCAATTAGAATTTGATGACAACATACAACAAGAACGCATTAAGGCTTTGTTTGCTTGATGCTTTTTGCATTTTTGACAAAAAATGAGTAGAAAGGAAAAAGCACACAATAAAATATGAATAGAAAGCCAAAGACAAATAGCAAGTAGCAAAAAGCATAAGCATATATTAAACACAGCCGAAGCCTTCTTCCAGTAAGAAAATTCAATTTCCAATATGATCCATATAAAGATTCAACAAAATTTCATGATAGCTGTCAACTATTTAATGAAACATCATCCTTAACCTCGGCTTAGGACCAACTATAACGACGGAACCCTCAATGAAGCCATTTTTTCATGGAGGGAGGGGAAAGAGATGGCCAGGATTTGAAGAAAACATCAATGGAAAATTTTGGACGTTCACGTGATTGTGGATCATTATTTTCCAGTAGCAATTATGAAAAATATCATATCAATTCATTAAATTAAATTACATACCCCAGAAATTTTCACGAATTGCCCATTCTTTGCATTTCTAAGCTCTGCAACTGGATAACGAGCAATGAAACTCATAATAGCAGTTCTCCTCCAACAAGAGTTCCAAGCAAATAATGCAGCGACACCACCAAAAAGAACCACAACAACAATGAGGAGAATGGCATTGTGAACTGCTGCAAGAATAAAACCACCAGCAATGAAACCCATTACAAAAAGCAGTATCAGTGCCCATAACATTGGTTTTGGGAAGTTCCTCTTGAACGAAAAGTCATCATCTTGGCTAATAAGATTCACAGCTTGATTATGAACGGCAGCAGAACCCTTTACTTTCATTGATCCCATAGATTCCAAAGGACCAGATACTTTCCGTGGGGCCCCAGAGGAATTCAGTGGGCCTGAAGAGATGGGCCCAGATGTAATAAGGCCAGTAGCAGGTAGAACAGGAGGAAGAGGACCAGAATTTTGGCGTCCACTTGGTGTTACTCCACCAGATTGTGGACCGGATGACTTCTTTACAGGATCCCCATGTCTGTTCAGTGGTCCAGAATTTGACTTCTTTAATGATGCCGAACCAGACATGCCTCCAGTGGCACCAGAACCTGATGTGGTATAGCCTGCCCGAGGAGCTGCATTAGGCATAATTGGTCCGGAATGTGAAGCAGCACCCCCAAAAGATCCAGTCCTAGAAGAAGCACTATTTATAGGCCCGGATTTCCTGGACTTAGAACCCTCCATAGGGATATCAAACATTTTCCCCAGTTCTCCTGACTTCTTAATATCTCCACCGGTATAGGGCATAGCAACTGAGCTCATGGTTGGAGTCCTTTCTTTAGGCTGCTCTGGCCTGCCTGATACATAAAGCCCATTGCTGAGCTGATGAGATGGGAATCTGGAACCCATCTAGTTTCCTAAATAGAATGCAGCAAGATATCACACAAAGATGACTGCTAGCAACTATGTGCACAAGAAAATCAAAGCCCCCCTGAGAACAAATAGCACCTTAGCCATCAGAAAAGTTGTTTATTCAAATAGTTTCAGAAATGCGTATGGACTTATCACAAACTAGGTATCAAAAGGTAAAGAGCCAATTGACACACAAATGAGGTAAACAACGCAAACACATATAGCAGTAGAAAAGATAACATAAGTTAATCTTGTACATGATAAAATAAGTTAGTCAAACAAATTTCCTCTAATATTTAGAAGCAGCATCAAAGTTTCAAAAATAGATGGCATCTTAGATTTTCATTTTTGCTAGAGCAAGCAGGTTTAATGTAATCAAATAGAATTTTCATCAGACCTCTGAAACAAGGTGGAAAAGAATAATGAGAAAGAATGTGGCAGATCACGCGAAAGAGTAAAAATGAAAGACAAGAAGATCATTGATCTAAAATTCCAACAACGCATTCGGTGGCAGTAAAGTGCAAATTCAATTAGCAGGATCTCAAAGAAGATTAGATAAATTGCAATGAACATCAACATGATTATACCACTGTTTCTAAGTTAGGAACTTTTTATTGGCCAAATGAAGGATAGGATTTGAAAATTAGATTCTTTAACAACAGTTTGCCAAGGAAGGAAGAATCACCTAATAACAAAGAGTTTTATTATAAAAGAAACTCCATTAAAATCTCATTTCATAGCAATTAATAATGAATACATCCATCCTTACAATTTTAGATATAGCATTGTTTGCTAAAATGATCAATAAACAGAAACAAAAATTAAGAAAATCATTTATCGTTGTAAAATCCAAAAGTTCTACAATATAAATCAATAGTTTGTTAGATTTAATTTAATTGAGACTATAACATTATAGTATCATCAGAAAGTAAGGTATCAAAGACAAATTTATTTGTCAAACCAAGCAAGTAAACCACAATAGAAACCGTGTCCCTGAACAAAGCATACAAAATACTGACCAACTCCGAATTTCGCATTAGATAGGCTGACTTCACATTTCAGTACAACTATCCAAATTGGATACAAGAGAACTGTGTAAATCAGTGGATCCCAGAAAACTTAATGACTCAAAAATATTAGTTATCAGGAAGTATAGCTTCAAAATGTAACCAACAATCAAACAAACAACTGAGTTTTAAAGCCCTCACCCCTTTGTTTAAGTTAGTTAAGAAAAACAGGCAGAAGGGCAAGAAAATGTAAAATCTCAAGATTAAAGTTGAAGCTATTCAAGAAAAGCTAACCAATAGTAAGTTGTGAAACACCTAAAAGGAAACGAAATAAATGTAATAGCTTAATTAAATCAAACAAAAAGTCATACTTATACCTGTTCACTAAAACAATGAAAGTGAAGCAATACAAATATATTTCACACTTCATATTCTTGTTAGACATAATTTAATAGTCTTAAGCAAGAGGAATACAATCCTTGTAAGTCAGAAAGCATATGGCATCATAAAAGCCAAAGGAAAATAGAGAGAGGAACAAGTTCACAAACTAATCATCTATCTATTTACCATATTCCACCAGCTAAAATATATAAACACGTCGCAATTTAGAATAAAACTTATGAAAATAAAAGATCTAAAGGCATAAAAAAAAAAAAGAAGAACGAGAATAGAAAACACTGAGCAAGGCCTTTTTTCTCTTGTCCTGTTGCACAGTTTGGCTAGAACTAACAGAATCAATCAAGTCAAAGTACTCTTATTTTGCAAGAGGATCATCATTGCAAATCTCAATAAAAGTATAAAAAGAAGTACCATTTCAGTCATCAACTACTCAAAGAACCAGAATCAATCACCCAAATCAAAATTTCAAACAAAATCATTGAAAGGGGTGAGATCCAATACTCGGCCATAAAAGCTCCAAATTATAAGAAAATTTTAGATTCACTATTTGCTACTCATTTCTTTTTACATTATTTTCTCACAAAAAAACACAACCCAAAATGGGAATGCCTACTAACCAAGAGATGTAGACTTTCACAACTTTCTAACTAAAAAGGTATCTTACAAAAAAGACACACACGCAACATTCACCTAACATCTGAATAACCAAATTTACAACCCAAATCAAAGAAACAAAGCATATCTCTTCTCATTTTTCACCAGGTATAGATAAAATGAAAGAGATCTATACAAAGAAACATGTATTCCCAAGCTTAATGAGCTCACTCATAGGAACGGTTTTTTTCTCCATAGAGTCCAAAATATAAGATATAACACTTGAATATAAGATTTCACTTTAAAAAAAAAAAAAAAAAAACAAACCAAAAGATAGTAATTTTGTGGGTATAAAAAAAAACCAAAAACCCTCCATTTTTAAACCGAGAAATTTACAGGCTAAATCACAAAAACAGAAGATACCCAGATCTCCATTTGGAGTAAAAACCAAGAAAATGGGAGAGATCTGAGGAAAAAGCAGAGACTTCTGGTGTTTTGGGGAGTAGAGGACCATAGTAGGAAGAAACTAAAGAGTTCTAAAAATGGCAATATCTATTGTAAAAGAAAAAGGCAAAGTAAACACATACCTCAAGTAAAAGAAGAAAGAGTTGAAGAAGAAATGAGGAGATTTGGAGACATTAAGGTTAGAGGAAGAAAAGAATAGGAAATCAAACAGACTGACACAGCGAAGAATAGGGACGAGCCATTCCAACAGCAACCTCACACTATAAAAAGTCTAAAGTTTTGGTTGTTTTCTACTTTTCTTTATTTTCGCTCCTTTCTCTCTCTAAATATATATCATAATGCAATTTATTACTATTTATTTATTTATTACATTTTTTTTTCAGCTGTCACCTGAGAGAGCCGCAACCGATGGGTTCTCTCGTCCTGCTAAAGCCTCGAAAATCAAACAAAAATCATTGTAATTAAGATTATAAGATAATCTATTACAATAATTAAATTTATCTCAAAATTTTTAAGGATTAAGAAACAGAATTACCGTTAGATTGAATAATATGAGATATTATAATTGGACATTCTTCCACTCAAATCATATCTTCATGAGAATATAAAGCTTCCTTTGCCGATCCGTGCGCTACACGAATTTCATCCCTTACTATGTGTAAAACTTCATACTATTGAAACCGTTTTTGGAACCGTTTCAATTTTGTCCTTGCTTCGTCCATGATCACCCCTATTATGGACATATGAGGTTCTTTTGTTTTTAACTTTTTGATGATACAGAGTGCATCCCTTTCAATGGTGATTATCTTCAGGCCCAAATTACTGGCTAACTCTAAAACTTTAACTACTACTCTTGCTTCCATGATAAAAGTGTTTTCTGCATTAAGGATTCCAAAAGCACCAGCGCCGATGATTTCACCTTCAGGGGCCTTGATAATAACACCCAGACCCCTTTTTGTTGTAGCTAGTGCTCCGTCAAATTTGCTTTGTAAGAACCTTGTGGTGTTAGTGACCGTTTTTTAATGTTGTGTGTGATCTCAATTTCCTCTTTTTTTGAGCTTGGCCATACTCCTCGTGGTATTTCTTGATGAAGTTTACTGTTTCCCACGGATTTCTTCCTCTCTCTCCATGCAGCTCCCCATTTCTTTCAGTCCAAATAGACCAAATGGCTATCAACCAAGTTTTCTGCTGGTGCTGGGTAAGCTTCTGGCTTCTGTGTTGTATCCAACTTGACACTTCCATCTCCTTATCGCCACCTTGCTCCCATTAATATCTCATTTGTTGCCACACAGCTCTAACTTGACAGCATTTACAAATCGCATGCATCACATCTTCTTCCTCTTCACCACATCTGAAATAAAGCTTTTCTACATGCATCTTCCTCTTGTGTAAGTTTACCATTACTGGTAAAGCACTATGAAAAAGTCTCCACGTCAAAATTTTGATTTTATTTGGGACCTCTGCATTCCAATACTATTTTCACATTGCTTTACAGCTAGCATCTCCTGATCCATTGTCTCCAACTAGTGAGCATAGTAGCTTATACCGACTCCTTACTGCGTATATGCTCCTGCTATCATAGTGCGAAACCAACAAGCCTAAGCAACCCACCTTACTTACAGGTAAAGAACATATCATGCTTGCCTCTTCTTCTCAGAATGAGTTGAAAAAAAGTTTTCTATTCCATTCTCTTGAATGTACATCCATCAGTTCCTTAACCAAAGTCTCATGATGCATATTTCCATCCAAAGGGTGAGGCCTAAACGGGTATGAGGATGGTAGCCACTTGTCTTCATAAATTCGTACGTACTCTCCTTTGCCAACTCTCCAACGTACTCCATGCTCTAACGCATTCTTAGCTCCCCAGATACTCCTCCATGTTAATGATGGGTTTGTACCCAACCGAGACTCTCGAAAGTTTTCATTTGGGAAATACTTTTAACTTTAAGTACTGGGTAAGCCAGTGTCTTAGCTTCCTTCAACAACCTCCATCCTTGCTTCCCTAATAATGCCTTATTGAATTTTTTATAATCTGTAAACATCTTATTTTATTCAAAAATTTTTGAACATTTAAATGAGCTTTGAATTTTGATAATGGGATTTAAAGTTATTTAATTAGGCTTTAATGGTGAAATTGAATTCTAGGCCCAAGATAAAAAAGCACAAAATTGTGTTTTTATTTCAATCCAGTATTATTATATTATTATTTATTTTTATTATTTTCTATTTTCGGTTTTCAGTTGTAATTGTAGTTTTAATTTTTATTATTTTTGATTTTTTCCCATGTGACCAAAAAAAAGGAAAAATCAAAAAAGGAAAGATTTACACAGATTCAACCCGTGGAAATCAAGGTCAAGATCTAAGAACAATCAACACAATTTAATTTTAAAAGAAACTTGGGCTCCAATTCATAAAAAAAAGAAGAACAAATTTTAAGAAATTAAATTCGATTTTGCCAAGATTAAGTGGGATTTGGGGTTTTTCAAATTGAAAAGTTTTTAATCCCTATATAAACCCATAATCTGTAATCAAAACACACAACCAATCAACAATCAAAGAGAAAATTAATCGGTATGCAACAAGCAACCAGAACACACAAAATTCGGTTATGGGAATTTGATTCAATAAATTTGGTGTTTTTGAAATTGTTTTTAGGTGTTTTAGTAAAGGAGTTTAAGAATGGTTCTCTGGTATTTTTGGATTAGAGAATTTTTGGAGTTTCAATTTTCGGGAATTTTGAGTTTTTGGGGATTTTTCTAGGTTTTTGTTTGAATTTTTTAATTTTTTGAATTTTTTTGAATTATTTGACGAAGTTTGATTTTTTTTTTTGACGAGATTTACGACGATCAAAAGATTACAAGGTGGTCAATTTCTAGGCTTTTAGAAAATTTTTGGGAAAGTTCAAAAATTTCAACACTAATTGAATTTTTGACATTGAATTCTAGGATTTTGGTTGGAATATGGGAACATGTTGAATTTTTTGATTAATTATTTTAGAGAGAAGGTAGAGCATTTGGAGGTTAGATAAAGCAAAAAGCAGGCAATTTTTTAGAAAAAAAAAAAGAAATTTTTGGCTTTCATAGCGTTGTAGAATGATGTCGTTTTGAAAGTGCTTGACACATGTTTCAACCTAATTAATCGGTACACACTGACCCAATCGAATCACATGTTTTTTTTATTTTATTTTTATTTTCTAATTTTGATTTTATTTTTTATTTTATTAGCTATTTTTATCTTTATTTTTATTTTATTAATTGTGATTGAATAAAAAGTGATAAGAAAAAGAAAAGAAAGAAACTTTGGTATGATTTTTATATTTACTAGGTTTCAAGCCTACAATTTTACTTGCGAAAGGAAAATATAGTTGCGTATTGGTTTAAATGTTAAAAAATGTATAATAAAAAAAAGTTGGATATATGTTTCTACATGGGTTTCATTAGCTTAAGTTGTAGGTTATCAGAAGGTTGAAACTATAATGCATCCATAACAGGCATAAATTATGTCTAAGATGAGCCATACATCCAAATTGTTATAAGCAACGGACTACTTAGATTTATCAAAAAATGAGGATTATACCAAATTGTTGCTTATATCAAGTCCTTTTTAAATGGGATAAATATCAAAAAACCATTGGCTGTCCTACCATGACCAGCTATTACTCATTTAATTTGTTCTAGATGTTATTCATCCCACCATAAGGACTCTTACTATATAGATTTTGCCTTATAATATCATGTGTAACAGAACAAGTTAAGAGTTAAAGTATGAAAATTGCATAATCACTGAAAATAAATTGATATATAAGTTTTAAAACTTATGCTACAGCAATCAATGTTCTAAATATTTACTTCATTCAATAATCTTAACTTTGACAAAAAAGATAAGGAAGGGCAGGAAAACATAGTGCAAAATATCAATGTGCAATAACTGAATCCTACCTTTTGCCCAAGTCCAACATATGTACAAAAGCTAAAGTAGATAGATAGCTTCCACTACATTATGGCACAAAAATAATCATCTCTAGATATGACTTCTACAAATCTCGATGAAGCTTATCAGTAGTGCCCCATGAAACTAAATGATCACCAACCTAGTTGTCATTATTCCTATACCTAATATATGGTGGAGAGTTATCATGAGCTAGTAAGTAGTAAGAACTATGGTGTTCCTTTCTACAAAAAGTAGGAGACCGATCCTAGGGCCTTTTAGAAAATAACTTCGAAAAGATTGATATTTTTTAAGATACTTACACCAATTACCAAAAAATAACTAAGCTTGAAAATTGTAGAAAAAGCTTGGTTCATATTTTGCAAATCGCTTCAACTTTTTACAAAAAACAAACTTCTAAAGAGATTTACAATATTCAATTTTAGAACAAACAATGATGCATCAAAGCTTGATCATGACATTTTTCTAAAAACATGAAGAGTAATGATGAGTATAAAGTAAAATATATGTGCAAATCTAGTTCTAAATCACAAAAATGAAAAAGTTAATTCATTTACAATACATTGCCAATTCACCAGTCACATATATTATTGATTGAATTTCAAAATGACACCATTATCACAAATATCTCATGCATGATAGCTTTCACTTGTATGATTCCCTGATCTATTTAAAGTAGTTCTATTTAATCTTGAAAGTCTATTATTTCTCACTCTATTAATCCTAACACCAGCATTGCTTCCATTATTAGCAATTTAGCACTATTCAGAATAAATTGAAGTCTCTATTTTGGTAAGTAATTATGACCTGGACCTATTTAACTTTAAATCTTTCAAGTCTCTTAATTTTATTTTGCCTTGATTGACACATAAGATTCATTACACAGAAAGGCATAACTTGAAACTCAATAAAAAAGAGCTAACATATATAAAATCTCTAGAAAAACTTCAATTACTAAAAAAATTCTCACTGCATCTTTAAACAATAACAATGCAATACCATAGACAAATAGAAAGTGTGTACAAAAATCTACTGAAGAAAAATTAAAACAAGACAAATCCCATCATCTATTGATAATTTTATTAAATAAATTCAATATTAAACATTGTATTTTAGTGCAACAATTGATCAAGATGATAATATATTAATGCAGTCTTACTGTTAATAAAAAATTCTTACCTGTGAAGAAAGTAACATAAGCTTTTTAGTATTAATTTTATAAACAAACATAATTTGTTACAATAAACTTAATAATCGTCAATAAATATCATAACAAATTTGTTTGCTTAATGACTTTGCTTTATCAATTGTAAATGTATAACACAACTTTATTTGCTTAGTGGTTTTGCTTTATCAATTGAAAAATATTAAATATGATATATATTCAATAAAACTTTGAAGATATCATTCAAAAGAAGAATTAATGAAGCATAGCCTGAATGTTATCATTGTAACT